CCCCAACTAGATTGTAAGATTTTTGATGGCAAAGGTCTTAAAAAAAGTCCCCAATAATACTAAGCACTGTTCAATAAATATACACTGATTGGGGACAGAAAATTTGGGGCTTTTTTTACATTTTGTTCTTTAAAAAAAGACTAATCATCTTTTAAACAAGAATATGTATATGGGGGCATGTCAAAAAATGGATTTCATGTTCTTTCTGCAACTAGATCTCCAAGAATGTGTATGAGGTCACAGTGTGAGAAACGTCTCAGCATGATAGGTTGTGAAAAACATGTGGGGAAATGTCACAAAGAAAGAGATACAGGGTTGGATGATTACGGAGGTTAACCAAAAAGAAGAAAATGATATCTATGTCCTGATATCTTTCAGCCCCTCTTCTTCCTCACTTAATACCCTTACCACTGTCTGTGAATGATGGATACATTCTTCCTACTGCTCTGCTAGGGAGACAAGAGTAGTTTTGGAGCTGAGATGATTGTGAGACATAGGGAAGCAGCAGCTATTTGGGAATGGGTGCCAAGAACATTTTATCCCTGACTTGGTTCCCTGTTATTTTCTCATTATTCTGTTTTGTCAAATGACTTTGCTTTGAATTCAGTCATCAAACTTGGTAAAGCTAACATTGGTTGAAGCTTGTGATATCTTGATTTGAATACACCAATACCCCAACAATATCATAGACATAGATGTAACTGAAAAGAGGATCACCTGGCAGGGTACATATTGTTTTGGATCTTTACTTAGACATTTAAATTTTCTGTCACATAGGGTTAAAATGGTTTGAGAAGAACAGGTACATTGTTCTAATTTCTCAGACTTTCATTTCTTGTATGAAATGCTTCATAGAAAAATGAAGAAAGTGGTGAATAGTTTTAGTCATGAATAATTTGATGTTTTGGAATGTTGTGTTTCTAGAAATAGAGCCCATGATAGAATTTATAGCAACATAGACCTGACACATATAGAAGCAGAGAAAAATAGGATATCCTCTTGAAGTTTTGCCTCAGTAGTAAATTCAATCATTCAAATTGTTTTTTCTCGAGACCTAAAAATGCCAAAGCATTGCCAGCTTTGAGTTTATCCTGGAAAAGAAAAAGAAGACATTTTAAAAATGTTACTGGTGGTTGTTAAGTCAATACATCAAGGACCTATTTCTGCAAACCATCTGTAATTTAAAGTTTTAGAAAGCTGCCTGAGTCTCACGAAGCTTAGTTGTTGTTCCACAGTCACACAACTAATAGCTATCAGAGACTGAATTTGAACCCAGGATTCCTGGCTTTAAGTACAAAACTTTATCTACTATACTATACTATACTATACTTCTTTTTACTATTATTATTGCTATTGATGATTGATGATGATGATGATGATGATGACCATGATGACTGGGTCTCTTTCATTTATACTAAAAGTGCAGTGGACACTTAACAGTTCCAATTCCACTGCTGATCTGCATTGAAACTTTGACCTGATCCATTTCTGACCTAGGCCAATTTGCCCTTCCTTGAGTTCTTTGGGACTCACCATATTGATGAGGGACTAAACTCACAAACTAAGCCTATTGTAGCTCAGAGCTCCCAAACTTGAGCAATCAACCAGCCTCAGCCTCTCTCAGTAGCAGGGATTATAGGCACATACCACAATTCCTGACTACATTGCCTAATTAAAATGCAGTCAACTCATTTGAAAAATATATTAAGTATTTATAGTATGTAGAACCTGTGCTACATATTTATAATTTTTTAAGACCTTGCCTCAGTATAAGAGAAAATATCTTGGCAAATATCCCACCAAAATCTTATTGGCTCATGATCTGAGAATCTGGAGATTAGAACTCTGTCATCCTAGGACAAAAAGAGATGGATTTAGAAGCTAAGATCCTTCTAAAATATCTATCCTTTCACAGAAATCTCTGGAGCAATATTTTCTAGTTTAAACTAAACTGTACTATGGACTAGTAAAATATCAAAGTACTACCTGCCCTCCCTCTCCTTTTCCAAGGAGGGAGAAAAAAATTAGTTGTTTAAGTCTATATGTATACACATACACATACACATACATATACATATATATACATATACATGTATATATATAGAGAGAGAGATTAAAATTACATCATATGTAATAACTCTCATTCATTTACCCTATTTATTTAACTTATTTATCCTGGCTATAGCATGCTTGTATGTATTTGTTTGTTTGGTGTCTTCTCCATTAGACTGTGAGCTCCTTGAGGGTGATGACTGTCTTTTTCCTCTTTTTGTAACTCCAGTGCTTAGCATAGTGCCTGGCACAGAGTAGGAATTTAATAAATTTTTTTTTGTCCAATTGATATTTAGTGCTTTAAAGTTTACATAGCATTTTACAACAACCCCATTATGTAGATAGTATAGCATCAGTGTCCTTTTTTTCCAGATAAGTAAACTGAGGCATAAAACTGTACTCACTCAGTGTGGCACAGCTGATAAATGTCAGAACAAAGAACTCATGCTCTTATGACTTGAGTGTAGGACCTTTGGTGGTAAAAACTTTATAAATCAGCAAAATAGTTTCTCATGGAGTGCCACTGTTCATGGGACCTGCATTTGGGAAACCTTTCTGGGGAATTAGGGAATGATAAGATGTTAGAGCTGGAAGGATCTTAAAAATGATCTGGTACCTTTTATTGACATAAGGCTCTAGTCACAGAGAGTGACTATTACTTAGGCTTGTAGGATCCTGGGGTTGGCAAATTCAAATAACATTGTTTTACCTCATCTTTCTGCTTCTAAGTGTGTCGATTGGTAATATATCTTTTTTATTTGTTTGATCCTCTGGATGACTAAATGAAGATAAGCTAATTTGGCTTATCATAGGAAGACATGAATGGAGATTCTAATGGGTATGTTAAAATTTCACCATAATTTTCACATAAGGTAGAAATGAGGACTAAAATCTTTCCTTAACCTTCCTTTTTCATCTGTGAAAGACACTCTATTAACCTCGCCAAGAAAGTCCCCATGACACAAGGAGTTTAAGAACTTCTTGCAAGTTCACTCCTACACTCCCATAAAGCAGAGGTTCTTAATCATATTTATGTCATGGACCCCTCTGGTCAGACCCAGTCTGGTGAAGTCTGTGAACCCCTTCTCAGAATAATATTTTTAAATGCATGAAATAAAATGCTTAAAATCACAAAGGAAACCAATTATATTGAAACATAGCTATCCAAATTTAAAAAAAAGTTCATGCACTCTAAAAACCCCTGCCATATTAGGTATGAGGTAGATACAGAGTTTGTGGATTAGATTTAGAGCTGGAAGAGACCTTAGATTCCATCTTATCCAATCCCTTTATTTTACAGATGAGGCAAATGAAGCCAATAGAAGTTAAATGACCTGCACTAAATATAGGTGGGGTTTGGACCCAGGTCATCTGATTCCAGAGACAGTGGTCTGTGATACTTTAGATGCAGCTGTATGTTATGACCACACACATATACATGTCCATACAGACAGTTGGCTGATAAAGGAGTGTTTACCCCAATTACTGAATTAATTTCCCCTAGCCTCACCTGGGCTCAACTCACTTGACCCATGCAGCTCTGAGAAACCACTTGCTTCACCTCTTAAGAGGAGTTTATACTTATTCTCCAGCAAAAAACCCTCTAGTACAATGTCCCCAGGATTTTTATTTCCTGAAGAATGATTTTTTAAAAGTATATTAAAATCTTAATTGACTAAAATGTTTGGGTAATGAAATTAATTTCATATTCTGATTAACTGAGTCTATGTGGAAAACTTTAAGTTGTAACCCTTGTGTCTGAAACACCTACTTTCTCCTCCTCATACAGTTCTTTAAAACACTTTAGAGGGGTAGCTAGGTGGTGCAATGTATAGAGCATTGGCCCTGGAGTCAGGAGGACCTGAGTTCAAATCTGGCCTCAGATACTTGAAACTTATTAGCTGTGTGATCCTAGGCAAGTCACTTAACCCCATTGCCTAGCAAAAAATAAACCAAAAAAAAAAAATTCAGAATGCTTTTTCTGCATTTAGTAAGTACAGAACCCTGAATGTGATTCAAGATATTGTAGTGCCTTGCTATTTTATTTTAAGTCACAGATTTAGAGCCATAAGAGACTTTAGAAATCATCTTGTCCAACCCCTTCATTCTATGGTTGAGGAAACTGAGGCCTAGTGAGGTTAAATTATTTGCTACAGATCACACAGCTAGTGAATATCAAAACCAAATCATAGATCAGTTTAGAGTTGGAAGGGATCTGAGAGGCCGTCAGTCCAACCCCCTTCATTTATAGATGAGAAAACTGAGGCCCAGAAAAGTTGGGACTTGCTCAAGGTCTCGCAGTAATCAGCAAAGTCAGGCTTTCTCTGCAGTTACATCCACTGATTTCTAATCCAAGTTGACTATACTTAACTGTCTTCAATACATTTATGATGTGGCATTGTGGATGTAAACTTTGCAGGACACTAAGTAATTCTGTACTAATACTAGGACATAACCCCTGGAAAAGGCTTATTAAGCGCATCCCTAATAGCTTCTTGTTTTGTTGACATTTGCTTAAAAATAATGAAAACTTCAGCTATTTGAGGGTTTTGATTGATTGGTTTCTGGGTAATCAAGGGTTAGACACTGAAGTAAAACAAACAGGATCATGGCAGTAGGGCTTGTTTAGAAGTTTGGGAGCTTTGAAAAAGAAGTGTGAAAGATAATTGACAAATTTTCCAAGACTTATCTGACCCAGAAATATAAATTGAGCATTAGGAGATGCTTCTATACAATTGGTGGTTTGTCCTCTTTGGTTGTGATTGGTTGATTATTGCCTTTTTACCTTCCTTCAAACCATATGATATTAGCTATTTATAATAATAATAATGATAATAGCATTTATATAGTGCTTTATGGTTTACAAAGCACTTCACAAATATTATCTCATTTGATCTTCACAACAACTTGATAGGTAGGTAATATTATTATCCCCATTTTACAAATGAGGAAATTGAGGCATGTAGAAGTTAAATGAGATGGAAGGAGATAAACATTTATATGTGCCTACTATATGTCAGGCACTGTACTTTTTACAAATATTATCTCATTTTATCCTCACAACAAGCCTGCAAGGTAGGTAGATGCTATTATTATCCCCAGAAAATGAGACAAATAGAAGCTAAATGACTTGCCCAAAGTAACACAGCTAGTAAGTGTGTGAAGCCAGATTTGAGCTCAGTTCTATCTGACTCCAGGTTGCAATGTTCTATCCATTGGGCCATCCAACTATCTCTGGAAACAGACGAACAGATTCCACTCTATGGATTATCAAACGTTTTGATCTGGTGATTAATCCTGCACTGTTAATTATAAAACACCCTATGACAATCACATCTATATTTCTGTGATATTTTTAAAAGAGTCAGAGCTTTTGAACTCTTTTTATGTGTGAACTCAATCCCATCCTGAATTGGAAGTATATTCCAAAGAAATAATAATGAAGTAAAAATCAAAACCAAAGGTCAAATACCATACCTTTGTTTCATCATCAAATTCTTCCATAGACTCTATCAGTTTTCCAGCTTCTAGATCGCCTAGGGGAAAGGGATAATCAGTTCCCAAAAGGACTTTATCCTGAAAACAGAAAAATGTGGTTTTAAAAAAAATGCAACTTCATTGGATACCAAAGTACCTGTGGTAAAGCAACTTTTGGGAAATACTTCTTTAAAACAAGAAACTATGCCTACATTTGATTTGTCCTTTTTCAGGTCAATGGAAATATAAAATATAATGACCATGATATTTTGAGAAAGAAAAGAATTTTTCCTTATTTTGAAGGTTTTTAAAAATTCATCCTAACATCTTTTCTCCAGCAGATGTCACCATGGTGTCTCCTAAAGTTACAAAACTCAGTAGTTTAGGAGAGCTGGAGAAAAATATAGAATGACAGCCTGAAAATGAAGGCTTCTACCTGATACAAAAATATGGATAGCCTTGGGCTACATCAAAGCAACATGATTCTGTCTGATGATATAATTTCTTAAAAAAAAATCACTGTACTCAAAATATATAGGATTTTTAAAGGTATAGGTTATATAGTCCAAATCCCTCATTTTACAGATGAATTGGCACCCTAAGAAGTGGAATGACTTACCCAAAGCCACACAGGCTTTGCACACAAGTGGCAGATGTAAAACTTGAACCCAGATCCCTTGACTCTAAATCTGCTGCTCTTTCTACTCTGTTCTACATTTTTTTTTCTTGTTTTTGTTTTTAGGCAGTTGGGGTTAAGTGACTTGCCCAGGGTCACATAGCTAGTAAGTGTCAAGTGTTCGGTCTGAGGCCAGATTTGAACTCAGGTCCTCCTGACTTCAGGGCTGGTGCTCTATCCACTGTGTCACCTAGCTGCCCCTATATTTTTCTTAAAACAAACAACCAACCCCAAACAAACAACTTTCACCAACTTGATTTTTGTCTGATTTTTGAATGATGTTGCTTCAACGTTCATTTTGTGACGCTTTGTAAATCAAATAAGTAGGATAGTATTAAAATTTATTACCTTCTTTGTTGAACAAATTACATTGTCCTTAAGGTAACTTAACACATGATTCCTTCATTGATTACAGTTCTCTGTAATGTGGTAAAGTGCAACTTTTTTCTGTACCTGAATGTGATATTACTGATATCCTGTTAGTGAAGCCATCATGAGGTGTTGTTTTTCCAGTAGTAATGATAGGCTTGACCTAATTCAACTGTATTCCTTCCAAGTGGTCATGATCAGGGCATTTTTAAGACTACTAGACTTGAACAAGTAAGAGGTATCACCTTTGGTTTTAGAACAAAGTTGTAGCTAGTCCGACAAAGTGATACAGTAGACGGAGCATTAGACTGAGCATCAGGAGATTGGGTTCAACTCTCTGTCCTGCTACAAACTAGCTTTGTGACCATGGACAAAACATTTATCTCTCCGGATCTTCTTTCCTGTATGTATAAAATAAGGTGGGGGGGAGGGGTAGTACAAGGTGATCTCTAAGAAGCAGGTTTTAGGATTCTAAGCAGGATAGTGTGAACTTCAGACCTTGTTCTCGTTAACCATCTGCTCTAAGTGTCTGAGCTATGCTGCCACAGGTACTGTGACATCAGCATGAAGCATATAGTTTTGGGAGAGTTAGATTTTAGCTGAAAATAATTACAAATCTGTTTTTTTAAATATGTCAACCATAATGAACCCCATTTCTTATTTAGGATAAGTCTGAGATTTCATTGCATTGACATAACATTGTCACTTTTAATTAGAATTGTATTCCTGGTCTTAATACAACTGGATAATTTCATACAATGCAAATGTCTGTCATATAAATTAACAAAGCATAACTTGAAGAAGAGAAAAAAAAAGTAGGGCTATATTCAAACTTAAACCATTAAATAAATCCTTAGCACTTTAATTTTGAGTTATTAGAAGCCCAAATGAGAGTTCGTTTAATAAAACCCATAAAATCTATCAAGATTAAAAAATATACTTTATTTGCTGACTCATTTTGAGTCTTTTCCAAGAGATTATGGGTTTTGCATGTTAACAGTTTGTATTTTTAAATCTCTTTACTCCACTTATTTGAATATTTACTCAATGATAAGAAAGCAAATGATTTTCCTTATCTTTTGACTTTGTTTCAAGTAATGATTTTATGATTTCTCTAAACGTCTCTGACTTTGCATTTATACTTATAGTAACAGCAAACATATGAAATAAATCTGTACGTCTATAAAAAATATACTTTATATGAAATAGTTTGAAAGAAAGTTTGAAGGCATGATGGATCAACAAATCTGTTCCAGATTTCTGTGATCATTGCTATACCAAACCAAGCAAATTAACATTCTTAACTCTTGCTGATGGAAGTCCCCCAAAGACCAAAAGTTATATCTCTGTACATCTGTGCAAACAGCTGATCCTTTCTTAAATTGCCTGCTTGGCGTTCATTGGAGATTCATTTGTCCTTATTTCCAAGCTCCCTTTAAAAAAAACCAAATCCAAAAAACCCTCACAACTCTTTGGAGCTCTAAAACCGTTCTATTACATTATGCATTTTAAAAATTTGAATGTTTATATTACATTTGTCAGCTTCTTGCATACAAAAATCAGGTTTAGAAATTAATTTGTCTTTCTAGTCACTAGTGCTCCTATTCCCAGTATTATGATAACCTACTTTGATATTAATAATTTGCAGTCAGATCTATTCTGCTTTAATACATAGAACACATAATTCAAAAGGAGAAATGAAAATTGTTCCTTCTGAAAAATTTCTAAAATTCTATTCTTTTGAAGTAATTTCACAGAATTTTAGCAGTAGTAGGGACATTAGGGATCATCTGGTCCAACCCTCTCATTTTACAGATGAGAAAACAGGCCCAGAGAGGTTAAAGTTTGTGCCTACATAGCTTGTTAATGCAAGAGCTGGTGCTGGAATCTGGTTCTACTCATCCCTAATATAATTCTCTTTCTACTTACTGATCTATACTTTCCCCTCTCTGCTTCTATTATGATTTTTTTTGGATTCATAATACAGGAAGCTGAGTTTATATAATTATTTCTTCTAGATATTTTTTGGAACCCACATTGTTCAGAATATATAGGAGTTAACTATCTGTTCTCAGAATTAGTGGATAACCTTCTCAGAAACTAACTAGTCAAACCCATATGGGAAAAAGGACCGTGACTGTGACGTACCTCACAAGTTGTCATCCACCCTCCATTTGAAGATCTCTGATGGAAGGGAATCTCCCCCAATTTAACAGCCTGATTGAATTTAAGATAGTTCTAATTGTTAGAAAGATTTCCCTTTCCCCTCTTAAGTTGAGCCAAAATCTGCTTCTCTGCATCTTCTGTATGTCAGTTCTAGTTCTACCCTCTTGGGTCAAGCAACTCTTCCACATGATAGCCATTCAAGTATTTAAATGAATGAATAATAAAAACAGCATTTATTAAGCATTTCCTATGTGCAAAGCACTGTACTAAGACCTGGGGAGCCATACAGAACAGCAAGATAGTCCCTGCTCTCAAGCAGCTCACATTCTAACAGGGGAGACAATGCATTCAACATAAATCTAGTTGTGGTCTAGCTGGGTTTTAGTACAGTAGGACAATCCCTTTGTGCAATCTAATAATAATATTTAACATTTATATAGCATTTACTATGTGTCAAGCTGCACTAAATGCTTTTTGATTATTTCATTTGGTCATTATAACCCTTCAAGGTAGGTGCTGTTATCTTTCCCATTTTGCAGATGAAGAAACTGAGACAAACAGAGGTTAAGTGACTTGCCCAAGGACACAAAGCCAGTAAGTATCTCAGTCACTCTTTGAACTCAGGTCTTCTTAACTCTCTGGGCAGTGAGGGGATACAATGGATATTGTAAGCCAGGAGTCAGGAAGACTCATCTTCCTGAGTTCAAATCTGACCTCAGACATATACTAATTGTATAACCCTGGGCAAGTCACTTAATCCTGTTTGCCTCAGTTTCCTTATCTGTAAGTTGATTATTAAAACATAATTATAGAATTTTACATTTATACATATTGTATCATTTTGTTAATTTCAATTCATCATTCTAATCTGGTTAAAGCTTTTGGGTTTTTGAGTCTCTTAATTCCATGTGTGAGCTATTCCTCTCAGCTGCATTTCTAACCTAATCTGGTATAATAAACAATGCCATCTACACCTTCATTCAAGTCATTGATAAAAATGTTATATCTCTGATGGCCCTTGACAGTGGCTTCACTCTATGTTCTACTTAGGTTGTCAAAAGGAACTAGAGCCCTTTCTAAATATGCTATTCTAGGATTTGGAGGCCCCCAACAGCTTTGGATATGCCAACCATGAGTAAAACAGACATGGATATACACAGAGCTTGGTAAAATTCCTTTGGTGCTCTATGAATATACGTAGGGATTCATCAGTCACCTTAAATACTTCTACTTTTATGTCTTCAATCTTTTCCTCTGGCTAGGGGAAGGGACCTGGTCTGACCAGACAGTTTTATTTTGACAGTGTTAACCACCCCTTCCATTTAAATACTTGTCTCTTCCCTTGGTTCCTTTCTGGTTTTCCTATTGTCTTGTATGACTGCTTCTTATCATCCTTTCCCCCTTTCTTAAGCATGAAATCCTCCAAAACTCTGTCCTCAGCTCTGTTTTCTTCTTTTTCTATATTCATTCCCTTGGTAATCTCATCTAATCCTTTTATTTCAATTATTACCTCTATCCAAATGACTCCCAAATTTATGTAACTATCCCCAATTTCTCCTATGAACTTGGATGTTAAATTACCAACTCTGTCTGCTGGTCATTTTCACCTAGGTATCTTTCAAGCACCTAAAATATAGCATATCCGTAACTAAAGTTTTTTTTTTTACTGACTTTCTAGCTTCCTCCATGGCCTTTCTGCTGATGGCATCTCCCTCGTTTTAGATGTTCTGGCTCAAAACCTCAAGGTCAACTTTGGCTATTCCCTTTCTTTCATTTCTACATCCAATTAGTTGCAAAAGCCTGTGGATTTTATTTCCAAAACATCTGTCACATCTATCCTCTCTTTTCACTTATACAGCTACCACCCTAGTTCAGTTCCTCATTACTT